TCAAATGAGGCATCAGATTCTTTATTTCTTCTTCCGTGAGTTCAATCCCCTCACTTGCTAGAAAGTTGACTAAGTTCTCAATATCAATCACCTCTCCTTAGAAAGATGAGAAATGAATTACAGAAATATTCTGGGGCAATTTACCAAACATTATCACAGTGCTTATATATACCATCACCCATGTACAAGTGGTGATCGAAATATACAGTGAATGTTTAAATTAAAAAAATATTACAGGGCCAAGGAAGTAGCTCAGTGTCGCCACACCTGCCTTGCAAGCGCAAGGTCCTGAGTTTGATCCTGGGAACCAAAAAAAAAAAAAAAAAAAAAAAATTGCAGTAGGACACATTGCCATTAATCTCCCTCAAAATGCTCCCCTCCTTGTCTCAAACACAGTTCATGAAGGGAAAGAGGATGGAGGGAAGTGGGGAAGGGGACGGAGCGGGCAAAGAGGGGAGGAGTAAAGAATGAAAAGAGAATTAAGATGTTATGTACAAATTTCCAAGAGGAGTGTACTACAAATATGTACTAGTAAAAATAAAAAATGAAAGAAGACATATTATAATGATACATTCATTATACTTACAGCAGCACAACTCACAATAGCTTAATCTTGGAAGTGGCCTACACGTCCATCAACAGATGAGTGGGTAAAGAAAATGTGGTATGTATACGCAGTGGAGTACTGCTCTCCCATAAAGAAGGATAAACTTGAGTCCTTTGTAGGAAAATGGATGCACTTTGAGACTACGTTAAGTGAAATGAATGAGACACGCAAGCTTAAATATTGCATGGCTGCTTTTATATGAGGAATCCAAAATAAAAATAAACTATAAAGCAAAATTAAAGATATATAATAGGAAATAGGAAGATGTTTCTTTTGCAAATAGGAAGGGGACCAGGAGTGGAAAGAGAAGAAAGGGAGAGGAGAGGAAAGGGATGGAAAGAGAATCAGGATGTGTTATGTACATGCACCAGATGTCCACAACGAATGTAGTCATTATGCACTGCAAATACACACTATGAAAAATAGAAACAGAAAAAGAAAAAACTTCAGAGGATATCATGGGCATTGATACTATGTAAAAACAGACTATTATCTACCTAGGTAGAGCAGCACCCACAAAAATAGAGCACATTATATAAAAAATTTAAACTTTTGTGAATGGAAAATATTTTTCTGCACCATTAATTTTAAAGTATTAAAATGCTGTTCATAAGATTTTTCCATCAGCATGACTTACCCTTGATATAGCTGACTACATCTATTAGATCCTTCAGATCTACAGTTCTATTGCCTGTAAGACAAGGGAAGTATGCCTCAGACACAGATGAGCAGATGTTACTGAGACTGACAGTTTACACTGTATTAAAGTATTGAAAAAACGAACATCATAGGAATCCTGTGATCTTTTCTCTAATTTTCCCTATAATTTATGGACTTATCCCCAGAGATAAATGTTATTTTAGAAACAAAGAAAGTTCTCAATCTCAAAATGTATCCATTTTCCTATGAATGACTCTAATTTTTCATTCTTTATGGCTGAGTAGTGCTCCATTTTATAGAAAAACCACATCTTCTTTATCTAGTTTCCACCTGGATGGGATGGGCAAATGGGCTGTTTCCATGTTTTAGCTATTACAAACTGTGCTGCTATAAACCTAGGTGCGCATACTGAATCATTATTATATCTTCCATTTTCTTTGCTTTAGAGACCACCAGAGTAACATAAATTAAGAAGTGATTGGTTTCAGTTAAATGTAAGGAGACAGAAGAAATGAACCTGACCCTACATATTTTTATTTCTTCAGTATTTCCTAAGCTGGAGAAGGTATCCGATCCAATGAAACTGGATGCAATTTCCTACGAAGAGAGTGTAGATTAAAAAGGCAGCCATGGGTCCAGCCCTGAAGAACTTTATTGATGAGAGATCTCATAGGCAAGGAAACGTCAGAAAAAGAAATGGAGAAGAAGCTGTCAGTGTGGGAAGAAGAAAACCAGGTGAGTATGGGGCTTCAAAAATACGAAGAAAATACGCACTAAAAATAAGGAATGTGAAAAACACGAGAAAGAAGTTTCAGTAAGAAGGGTCGGTCACTCGTGTGAAATACTGCCAAGACGGCAGCGGAAAGAAGAGAAGAGAACTGACGATGAGCCCTGGCAGGAGGTGAGTCATTGACGATCTTGTTGAGAGTTGCTCATCCAGTGCTGTGGTGGACAGGACATGGCAATCTGGAGTGAATGGGAGGTGAGGACATGGACACAGTAAGTAATGGCAACTCTGTTGTAAAAAGGAACAAAGACTTAGAGTGGTAGCTGTCAGGGACCCAGGATGATAGAAAACCATGGTTGCATGCCAGTGGAAAGAGAGAGACAGTAGGAGGGAGAATTTAATAATGCGGGCTAGAAGGAGGGAATACTGCATTGGAAGAGTTAAGTCTGCGAATGCAAAAGGAAATGGGGACTAGGACATAAACGAAAAGCTGGCCCAGTGATTCTCTTCTTTAGCTAGCAAAACAAAAGTCAGGGCTTATGGGCATGGATACAGGTAGGTAGGTACACAGGAATGGAGGCAGGAAAATGAGGACATTCTTATCTAACTACGTCTACTTTCTGTGTGAAATCTGAGATGAAGCCATCAGCTCAGAATGGAGATAAGGAAGCAGTGGAAATTGATCAGAGAAGCTGTAAAATTTTCCCTGAGACTAAGAAAGTAAATTTACTTGGGCAATGTAGCAGAGACTTCCTTGGCAATTTTAAGGACTAACTTCAAATTGTGGCCGTTATGTGACGTGACTTCTATTCGCATGACGTTGTGATTTTATCCAGCAATCTTAAGCTGTTCAAAGTAAAATAAGGATAAAGGTGAGGATAAAGTCATCGCTGTATGAGTGGTAGATAAGGAACAGGCAGTCATGGTGTGCTATGGATGACCTAATTAGAGATTCTTAACCTGGGCTTCCTGTACCCTACACTGAGAGAATTCAGGGATTATTTTCACTAACCATTAACTTAAATTTAGCATGATTTTCCTCAATTATTAATTTAGGCAACAAACGTGGCAGTAGTAGCAGAATCAATAACTTTTGTTACTAATATAAACCACTGACATTTTCGTGCCACAGAGATGCCGTCGCAAATCTACTGAAGTGTGGTCTATGCTCATCGCCACTTGAAAATCTGGCTTGCTACTAGAACTTGTTAAATGATTTAATAGGTACCAACAATTTATATCTAAAATGCTTTGATAATGGTGTTTTAATGTGATTAGCTTTTTTGCAGTTTTATGTATTTTAAAATGTACTCAGAAGTGATCTATTCATTAGACTTTCAAAGGGGTCCCTGGCACAGTAAAGTCAAAAGCTCCTGATTTGTGAGGAAGGCAATGAAATTGCTGGGGAGAAGAACAGGAGTCGTGGAAAAGGAAGACAATGAGCCTGGTGCTATTCGCTGTAAAATGCCCTAAATTGTATCCTGCTTTATTTACATAAAACTTATACTTAATAAATGCCATTATAGCTTATGTGTTTATAATAAGTAAAATGTATTCATAGATCATAAAGTTTCCTTCTTTTGGTTTTTCAACATCTTTTTCTCCTCCTCACCATTATCATTAACATTTACTGACTATTCTGGACTGCATTAGGTGCTTTACACACACCTCATGATCTATATTAACTTCAGAGTGAGGGAATGAACATAGAGAATCATTTAGTTCAAGCCCCCCATTTTACATATGAAGAATTTAAGATTACGAAGGGTTAATTTATTCATTCATTAATTTATTCAGTTTTTGGCACGGGGAATGAACTCCAGTCTTTGCGCTTGCGAGGCAGGTAAAGGGTTTATTTATTTGTCAGCAAGTTTGTGGAATAACAGGCATCAAAACTAAGCACAAATAAATGTTATATACCACAGTTAAGAAATGTAGTGGATTTATCAGGGAAAAATTTATTCTCCTTAGATACTGCCAGGAAATATTTCCAACAGGTTATATAACAATGTCAACTCTTAAATTAAATGCCATTGCAAAGACTGGATATTATCAATCTTGTTAATTTTTGCTAGTCCAAGGAATGACCATGGTTCTGTGTTGTTTTTTTATTTTGTATTTTCAAGATTATTGGCAAGATTAAATAATTTTTCATATGTTACTGGCATTTACATTACATTTCCTCTTCTATGAATTACCTATATGTTTATTCACTTATTTATTCTTACCATTTCTCTTTTCAGTGAACAAGGTTTCTTTTCTTTTCTTTTTCTGTGGTACTGGGGATAGAACACAGGCTGTGGGTATGCTAGGTAAGGCAAATGCTTGACCACTGAGTTAAGTCCCCAGCTTGCTTGCTTATTGACAGATTCAAGACTATATAGTTTAGGCTCGGCTTGAACTCTCTATATGCCCCAGGCTGGCCTTAAACTCTCAATGCTCCTGCCTCAGTCTCCAGCAGAGCTGGGGCTACAGGTCTGCACCACTGTTCCCAGCCCATACAAAGACTATTTTTTCTACATTACGGATATTAGTTGTCTTATAACCCTTTCCTCTGGGCTCATCATTTGGCTTTCTTAACATTTCTCTTAAAGTTGTCTCTCAACTATCCTTCTAGTTTATTACATTTTTGTTATGTTTTGTTTGGTTTGGTTTCTTGAAACAGGGTCCTGCTATGTAGTTCAGGCTGGCCTTGAACTTGCAGCAGTCCTGCCTCAGCCTCCTGAGTGCTGAGATTACAGGTGTGCGCCATTTTGCCCAGATCAATTTATCATTCTTAAGGCTTCTTAAAACTGTGGTATTCTCAAGCATGGCTGAATCCAGCAAGTGGCACCCCTAACCTACATTTTAAAAGGCATTTTTGAACATAGTGTTTCTTCATGAGTCAGGATTAAGTCTTCCTTTTTGTATTTATTTCATTATGATACCAAAAAGGCTGCTTTCAGTGGATGTAATAGAAGGGCTTAATATTGCTCTAAAGTACACAGTGACATCTATAATACTCACCATCAGTTGATAGTTGGGTCATTAGTTCCTCAAGTTCTTCATCTTTAATTTTAATTCCCACATTTTCCAAAAGAGATTCCACTTTTTTGATTTTGACCCTGGGCCCTTAAAAAATAAGGATATGGAATAATATGACTATTGATCCTTAAAAATGAAAAATACTAATCATGGTCACTTATTTAAAAATCCCATTCAGGCTGGGGATTTAGCTCAGCACAGTGCCTGCCTGGCAAGCGCAAGGTCCTGAGTTCAATTCCCAGTAACAACAACAAAAAAAATCCCAATTGAAAGGCAAAGCACTATTACTGTGTGTGTGTGTGTGTGTGTGTGTGTGTGTGTGTGTGTGTCTAGATTATATGGCTGTTGACAGTAGGAAAAAGTAGAGAAAGATATACTGAATTGTTAACAGAATTTGTCTTTATGGGAAGGGATTAGATTGGGTAGGAGTTATCAGTTTTTTCAAATATTTTGATTGGATAGTTTTCTTATTTTAAAATATATTTTTCTAATTAAAACTAAAAAGGTAACAATTATTTTTTACAAATTAATTTTATTGGTACATTTTGACATACATAATGATCACATTCATCATAGGGAATTTGTACCTCTACATATTATATCTTAATTCTTTTTTTTCCTCTATTCCTCTTCATTTTCCTTGATCCTTCTTCCCTTCTCCCTCCTCAAAGCTTTATTTCTATTGTTTTCTTTATGTTCTTTATTATTTAAAAGGAAATTACTTTTAGAGTTAGCATGAGAAGTGGAAATAGATTATTTCCCTTACTAAACTGATCCAGGGGGCCCTGTTTTCCATGAGAAAGTTAGGCAAGTGTAATCACTCATGGTTGAGTAACAACAAATTTATACAAGTCTAGCCAGACATCAGTGTTAAACTTTCCACAGTATGATGCTTTACGTATAGCCTCAAAAGTCAGTGGACCTAAAGGAGACTAATTAAAAATGTATAACAATGGATCAATAAATGGGCAGGAGGCAAAGCTGGAACATCGAAAAGAAAATGCTAACATAGGATTTTTTACTTGTTCTTTCACCGTGCTTTTCACTCACCATCAAGGGCCTTCACACTTTTTAGCAATCTATTCTTATATACCTTTCCATCAGCTGTAAGATATAACCAGAATAGAACAAATCATGAGAGAAGAGTAACAAAGACAACAGAACATACATAATTGTAGGGAAAAAACCCCAACAGTGTTTTGATTTGTTTGGAAGTTTATTAATTTTTAGTCATGTAAGAATAAACCAAAACAAAGAAAGCTTTTACTGATATGAATCTACTCATTAGTTGATTTAATAGCAATCTTAATTTCCCTTTTCTCACATTTCTCTTCCTTCTCTTACTTTCCTTCTCATTCTTCTCATTAGTCATAATTTAGATTATACAGTGCGCCCAGAGCTACCAAAAAATGTAGCCTTTGTGACACACACTGGCAAAGGTGCCTGTTTTCAGTGCTAATACAAGTGACATGAACGGGCAACAAAATTTCTTCTAGTGTCAGAACTGTCTTTTCTAAATAGGTTCTGCTGGACATACATTGGTATAATTTAAGAAGTTTTCACATCCAAATCCTCTAAATCCAAGCTTCCAAGGATGGGCTAAATATACTCACTGTAAACAGAGAGGGCATCCAGCAGCTTCTTCTGTTGCTCCTCAGTGAGTACTAGCCCCATTTTCTTTAGTACATTGTCCAGATTACCAACATCAACCTTCTCTCCTTTGGAAAGAGGATAATTGTCAACATGTAGGGATTTCTGCAGCAGACTAATGATGTCAAATTATCAAAAAGATCGCCTGTGTGACATTATCCTCAGAAGAGCAAATTTAAAATGAAACTTGTTAAACTATATAAATTCACAAGACATGTGGATATGTAGTTTAAATTAGAAAGATAATTTATACGTTTCATCCAAGCGAAAGAAAGCCCACATAATTTTAGATACAAGTCAACATTGTATTAACTTGAATTCTGGGATGTTTATCTAGGAACCATACTATAAAAGCATCACTTTGAGACTGACAGTACTGACTCATATTTTGGTTGTTTAGACAATGGCGATGTGAAAAAAGATTGTTCAAAATGTTATGTAACATAGGTCTGTGCAGGAAAAAATAATAAGATTATGAAAAAACATTTAACTGTTAAATTTGTAGGTCAGTCAATTTAGCAGATCATTAACATTGGAAGAGAAAACTGCTTAACGAGTCTTAATTGCTTTCTTCATAGAATTAGTATCTTAGTTAATAAGTGCCTTTTCTACTACAGCTACTTCCTCACCTGTGAAAGTGTTTGCTTCATCCATCAGCTCATGCAAATGAACCACCATTTCATTCTCTGTAAGAAAAGATAACTCAGGTAGAGAGACTGATTTTTTTCTTCAAAAAGTAATATGAAAAATTTAAGTTGTAAGGGGTTGAAATTCATTTTTTTCATTTTTTTTTCTTTTTCTTTTTTTTTTGTTCGGGGGATCAAACCTTGTGCTTGGGACCTTGTGCTTGTGAGGCATGCATTGGTGCACTGAGCTAAATCTCCAGCCCCATATTTTTTTCCTTATAACTAAACAAGAAACAGAGGAAAGAAAAAGATAAAGATGTAAATTTAAAGTGAATGTTTATTTATTTGTTTGTTTGAGACAAGGTTTTGCTATGTAGTTCAGGCTGGTCTTGAACTTACTGTGTAGTTCAGCCTGGCCTCAAACTCATGGTGATCCTACTGCCTCAGCCTCCAGAGTGCAGGGATTATAGGTGCCTGGCTTTGAATGTTCATTTAACTAATACTAATTTGAGACAAGTTTGAAAGTAGTTCCATTTAGTAGGCTCTTTCTTCTTTTAGACCCATAAGGAGGCATATTTTCAATAGATATGACTGAATTTGATACCTGGAAGTCATTTGTTTACATAAGCAGCTAACTGTTAAATCTTTTAAATTAATTAATTAATGAATTAATTGGTACTGGGGATGGAACTTGGGACCTTGCGCTTGTGAGGCAGACTGGGTCACCACTGAGCAAAATTCCCCGCCCTTAACCATTAAATCTTAATAGCACACAATGTTCTCATTCTTTAAATTTTGCTTATGTTCCCCACCTCTAACCCCTGAAGACTGTAAGCTGTTTTGAGACCAGGGATTATGACTCAATTTTCTTTATACTACCAGGCATAAATTATTCCCTTTAGTTCAGTGCTTTGTACTAGTTCAGCTGAACAAAAGAAAGAATGCTAGTGGTACAAACAATCACATTGTTGGATTAGAAAAAGATGCTGTCATTTATTAAAAAGAAAAAAAATCAAGGGTATTAAAAAAGTACCGTGGGCCAGGAATGTAGCTCAGCACAGTGCCTGCCTGGAAAACATGAGGCCCTGAGTTTGATTCCTAATACAAAAAAATGAAACAAAACAAAACAAAAAACCACAAAACCCCAAGTACCTCATTGGCAACGATGCTTTTTCCAATAGGAAGCATATGAGGAACCCTTGCTAATATGTGGGGACAATATAATTTAAAAGTAAGTTATGGTGACTCTTTTGTGGTAGGAAGGAGAGCCGGATAAAATATATGAATAACTGCCAAATTATTAAGCTCTGTCGATTTACACTAAGGTTTTAAAATACAAAGCAGGAAAAGCCATCTTGTTTCACCGCTGCTGTATCCAGGTCCTTGGATGCCCAGCAATTAGCAGAGAAACTCTGAGCCCAGAAAGGGGACAAAAGACGAAGAAGGACGCAGGGCCCACAGACCCTGTTCAGCAGAGGGTGCAGGACGAGTGCAGTCCACTCAGCTGCTGCAACAAGTTCATCCCAATGCTCTGGCTAAGACACCGAGCCGAGGGATTCTCCACCAGGACAGGGACCTTGCCCTATGGTCTCCCTGTTCATGGTGGCCCCGGAGTCCAGCTGGGCCTCAGTGAAGGACCCATCCTGGCGAAGACGCTTCATGGCCACAAGGCCGAGCCCTCGCATCTGTGCCACGGGCTAGACAGGGAAACCGCAGGTGTAATGGCGCTGGCTTGGGAGAGGGACGTAGTTCATCAAGTCCAAGAGCTGTTTAGAAGCCGTCAAGTAGAAAAGGGGTACTGGGCCGTCAGTGAGCGTGCCCTCGGCAGGAGCTGTGGATATCCCTACCACTGAGCGGGAGATGCAAGGACAGCAGCAGCAGCACAAGATGACCTTGTCCCTGAGCTTCCACATGGACCATGGGTGAGGAAGATGTGTACCAGCCGCCATGCCCAGACTGCTGTAACTCGGGGCCGGGTGCTCAGGAGCACGGTGTCCTCTGCTCCGTGGAGCTCCAGCCCGTACAGGAATAAAACATCAGCTTGGAGTCCTCCCATCTTTTGCATTGGATCGTCCAATCCTTGGTGATCACAAGTACTCAGGCCGGAAGAGACTGGCTCCCCCAAATCTTCCTGTCGACACCCTGAAGAAACTGGGGCTGGAAGAGTCAAAGCTCACTGCATCCCCCTCCACCTACATGCCGGGCAGCTGATCCTGCCTCCCCTGGGGTCCAGGCAGGAGGAACTCCAGTTGGTTTGCAAGCTGCCTTGCTTCTTGGTACGTCCCCTGAGGATCTGGGTTTAGAGACGCCACAACAAGATGAAACTGGACACAATGAAGCTAGGCTGCTGGGGGCACAGCGAAAACTACTGGGCAGTTTGGCCCCTAAACTTTTTGCTTTGTTTCATGGAT